AAAAAAAATTTTTTTTAATTCCTGCATCAATATTTCCCGAATTTTTGACGCAGATGGGAGTGATAATCTAATGAATTCTTCTATTTGTCCTATACTGTAATAAGATGATCTGAGGTATAGATCATATTAACAGAGAAATAATATGCTTTAACTTCTACCTATACGTTGTACTTTAATCATTAACAAAAAACTATAAAATAAATTAGGCCTATTAGTAGATGTTTAATGTAAACCTGTTTTAAGCTTAATTTAGGGGGGTCATGCATAATTCTCATCATCTTTATGAGTACAAACTGTAGTCTTTACTGTGACCCAATCCCTCCTCTGGAAAGTATAAACAATAAAATGTTGAATTGTGTCATTTTGTGATCATCATTTTATCTTTTTTTTTTTTTAAAGCGTACTTAATTCTACACTTTCAACCCCTTCTATCCTAAAGCATACGTTGTGTACTCTTTTAAAATTGTTAACAATTATGGATGGCCCCTTAATGCGCCTTTTGAATGTGTATTACAATAGTTTGAATTATATAATTAAATTATTGTGCCCATTAATCAAACTGGATTTCGGCAAACTTAATTTGGGAATCGAGCATGATTCGCCAAACTGTATTCTGGCAGTTTGAGCTAGATCCTCAATAATTGTAAATAATATATTTTATTTTTTGTTATTTCACAACACTAATTAATAGCTTATTTTAAAAAAATATTACCTTTCAATTGGTACAAAGTATCATTGTATATACCTTAGTAGGATTTTTACTGTCTTAAGAAAATGTTGGCATTATACATAAAAAAAAAGACCAGGACCCACACCAACTCAAAAGTGCCTGAACATACATGCTATACAAGTAGGCCTATTGTAAACACATTTTGGAAATTCCCAAGGCCATACAACGATGAATAGTAATGCCATGTTATTAGGATCGGAACAATAGCGGTGAGTTTTGAGGTTCAGTGGTGTTTGCTGTTGTTGTTGCTTGAACAAGAAGCTTCTACTGTAGTTCAAATATGACGGAGTACCGATATTTCAATGTATTTTAATTTTTTGTTTGTGTGAATATACTTATAACTTAAATTGCAAAGGTTAATGCTGTTATACAAGAAAGGCTGAAGATTATGTGAGTATAGTATTTAGGTTTGTAAGCCTGACAACAACTAAAATTGTGGACTACAATTGTGTATAGGTATGTCACGTGTGGGTGTGTGTGTGTGTGTAATTAGTTGTCTTAGGACTATCGCACATTGTACGTGATTAAGCCTAATAGACGTGAGCCAATTATTGTGATGACTAGCAAACCTTATGGTTCCCTGTGTATCACGAACCCTATGACCCCAATACTGTGTAGAAACAACCAAACGCTTTGTGATGCTACACTGGTTGTTATTTTATGTTAATGAGAAACGATAGCCTTTTTTCTTTCTATTACAAAAGGGCTTACAAATGAAAGAAATATACTGTCTTTGTTTCATGGGCTAGCATATGCCTAGGTATATCCCTCTATTAATAACAGTGACTGCTGCTTGCTACATAAAATAGGCCTACCATCTGTATAGCTCATTGTGTAAACTAGTCATATCATCATTCAATCGTTAAAACTGGTGAGTAGGCCTGTCAGTGTGAGTTCATTGCTCATTAATGATCAGATCCCTGGAATTAAATCCACAATGCTCACTGTGTTTCAACAGTTAGTATAGGGGTGTGTGGTGGGGTTAAAATGCAAGTTACATGAGTGTGTCCATTTTATGGGTTGCAAACTTACTTACAGTATATGGTTGCCAAAAAAAACCAAAAAAAAAACCTAACTTGTATTGTTAGTTAAGAGTAAACATTCATCGAAACCAATTTCCGAATAAAAAGGGAATCCATATACTCCTTCCCCTGTTAATTTTGTCTGGTTTTTTGCTTATAAAATACATTTTGAAGGTATTCCAGATTTAAAATTACTAAATACATAAAATTCTAGGAAAAATTTAAATAGTCTCTTAAAGCTTAAGTGCACTGTTAGCAAGAGCATTGCAGAAAATATTTTGTATCTTATTTGGGACTGTATGTTAGAGATGGTTATAAGTGAAACAATTGTTACAGTATGGGCTTGAAATTTACCTAGAAGTGTTGAGGATTCAGATGTACTTCAACCTAGTATTGGTTTGAAGTAAAGGAAGTTACACCAGCTACTGTCGTGTTCAACTTAATAATAAAAAAACGATATAAGATTAGAATGTATAAATTATATAATAATTAATATATAGTTTCCTGGTTTTGTTATTTAAAAAATAAAATAAGATGCGTGAATGTAAAAGAATATTTTCTGCCTTTATTTGATTTAGTGAAAACTCACTTGTTAAATTAGAAAAGTGTTTTTTTTTTTTTCATTATTAAGGAACAACTTGGGTTTTTTTTTGTATTCTTTTTTTTAATTTATTTTTATATTTTTCTGCCTTTATTTAATGTAAAAAAAGAACATTTTTTATACTGAACTGTACTTTTTTGTTTTGTTTTGAAATCTACGGTATGCATATCATGTTTTTTTTGAAGATGAATAAAATTTTAAAAAAAGTTTGCAAACTAAATTGATGATCTAAATGAAAATATTCATTTTTAGTTCCTATGCATGTAATGCAATAGGAACTATTGTAATCACACTGGCTATTTCCTATGTTTTTTATTGTGTGTAGTGTGTGTGTAGACATTTATGCAAATGCGCATGCGTCAAAGAAAAGTTTTCCGACATTTTGTTTTACATCACGATGCGAAGATTGATGTGAAGTTTCTGCAGAATTCAGTCAGGGCTCACGCTAACCGACTGGAAAGTCGGCATGGTGAAACTATTTTGGTTTTACGGCAAAAAAAATCAACTGCTGTAGGCATAGGTATTTTTTAGAAGGCCTAAAATAAAACTAAAATGTTTTAATACTTGCTGAAATACATCGTTTTTTCATTTAGATCTCCATTTTTCACTAAGTCCATGCAACGTTTTTTTCTGTTGTATACGTTCGTATGAGTAGTCATATGAAGGTACAATGAAAATACTGTATATCTAGCTAGGCCCTATGCCTACGATATTTTTTCAAAGAAATTTGCTAAAAATGTTAATGTAATTTGCCTGTCGAATTACATTACCAATGTAGTCTAAAATCACTATTTTGGGCCATAAAGACTCC